CGGCGGTGGTGGTGGGGGAGTGCATAGGAAGGAAAGCTGTGTCTCTTACGTGCTTTTTTACCAGGTACCCTTGAAGGCCAGACCATGAGAGAGCCTAGGACACAGGCACTGCACAACAGCCATTACAGACAGGCATGCCAAGCACAATGTGATGGTCCCATCTAGGCAGCTCCTGCCCACCACTGACTGTGGCAGGGACTGTGCTTTTTGGCAGCTCCTTGTGTCTAAAGGTTCCCAAGGCTGTGAGAGAATGGGACACCAAGACACCCCTCAGCTGGGGAGGGGGCAATGCTCCACCAACCTCCCCTGCTAATTTTCTGCCCAGAGGCTTATTAAGCCCCCGGGCTCACCAAGAGGCCTGTGAGCTCATTAGCCTCTGTCCAGGAGCCTCCGGGTCCTGCTGGCTGTGCGCTAGGCTGAGCGGGACTCCTTCATCCCACAGCCCTCCCTGCTCACAGCTCTTGGCCCTGCATTGGGGCCTAGGTAGCCAGCCACCATGATGATCATTTGATTTCTCTTGTTATCAAGTTGGCAATTAACAAAAGAGCTGATGATTGCTATATTGACTGACTGTGGGTTCTCTTTTTCTATCTGCACTATCTCAGCTGGGGAAGGGAAGGCAGAAGGGTGGGTTAGTGGTATTTATTTATCACTACGCCATGTTTTGTGTTTGTGTTGCCAGGGGAAGCAAAGGGTGATAATGGCCTGGCAGCCCTTGGACATCCAATTTCCCTTATCAGGCCACTGAATAGAAAAGAGGCCCCAGGCCACATTAATTAACAGATACCAATCAGCTGTCACGTGTTGTGTGTGCAAGGTCTGAGGGGAGCAGTGGGTGGGAGGGAAGAATCAATAAACCATTGGGGAGGAGTGCCAGAGGGAACAGCTAAAGAGGAGTCCAGGCTACTGGAGAGAAGAGCTGCAAATCCAGCTCAATGACTGTGAGATTGATTCCCATACAGCACAGCCTGTGCTCCATGTAGCCCTGCACCTGGTGAATCCCACCCCTTGCTCAGGCTGTGAGTACTTCAGGGGTGCCTCACCCTTCGCCTCGCCCTTCTGCCCCTTACCTCCTGCAGTCAGTACTGTGCTGCTCCCGAATCCAGCCCTCCCAAACAGCCCAGTGTGGGCTGATGCAGCTCGAAGGCTTGGGAACCTGTCTCCCCAGGTCTCCTGCTTGCTGCACAGGGAGCTGATGAGGTTAGCCCTGAGACAGGGGTAATGGTGCTGTCACAGTCTCTAGCACCTGGAACCTCTCCTTTGGTCATCTCTCTCCTAGCTCTGACCATGGACAACAGCCCAGCATTTAGGCTGCTGCCTTAAGTCCAGTTCCTGGGTCAGTCACAGGTCTTTTCATTCCCCAGCTGGAGTACAAAAGGGGTTATGCCATCACCTCACTGAGGTCTGCCAGTGAAATTTGTTAAAGATTGATAAACAGTCATGTAGTTGAGTGAGAGGATTCAGAACACACAAGCTCATGCTTTTCTGCTAGAAAATAAAGTAGAAAAAATGACTTAACCCTAGCAGTAGCCTGTACATCCAGCCTCTCTGTTAATCACTATTTCCCAGAGGCGGTTATGGCAGGTGGGAATTGCACAGGAGAGACCATGCTTTACCCTGTGCCAAGGAGAACAGAAGAGCCAGCTGCAATTGCCCTACCCACCTGGGAAAGCCCCCTGCCAGAAGCACTCCAAAGGCAGCCAATGACTCCAGTTCCGGCAAGCGGGCATCAGGGAGGGAGTGCTGCAGTGCCAAGCCTGGACTTGAAACGTTTGACAGGATTGGGACCCTTTTCCTTCAGTGTTTATACATGCAGAACGCAAGGGCTGGAGGACTGTGTCTGTATCATTGCAGTCTGCACAGCCAAGGGAAGATCATATAACCTGAGATCGCCATGCTATAAAAGGTAAATGCTAATTTCACCCTGCCAAAATCACAGGCTTGCACTGTTACAGGTTTATAACACTGGAGAACCTCTAGTGAGATTCAACAGCCTCGCCATCTTACAGCTCCCAGAAACTGTTAGAATCCATCTTTTCCGCATTCCTGAGCTGTTTGATGGCACAGCAGTCAGAAAGTGCCCTTAGTGATCCGTTTCTTGCTGCTTTTCTCAGGTCTTATCCTGAAAGGTGCTGACTGCTCCACTGCTGTCCCTAGGCTCCCGAAAGAGGAGCTTCTGTCTAGCACAGAGCTGCATGCATGTTTCCCTTCTTTCCAGGTGCAGCTTGAGAAAAGCTGCTTTATTTGCAATAGCTGATGTGACATTCAGGTTTCTTATTTTCTGTGATTTTTTTTTTTTTTTATTTCAGTGGTTTGGCAGTGGGTTTATTTTCTGTGATTTTTTTTTTTTATTTCAGTGGTTTGGCAGTGGGAGCTCCCAGAATTTAAAAAAAAAAAAAAAAAAAAAAGAAGAAGAGTCACATAATTTGTGGCAAGTGGAGTTCATAATCTGTTAATTTATTATCATTTCTGTCATCCTGGAGGGCCATTAGCAGAGGTAATAAAGGGAGATGTAATTATAGGATCTGAGGCCACTCCAGACACAGCTGCTGTCACTCCACTTGCCATATTTCATTCTGTGCTAGTACTACCGTCTTCCTAGTGAGAACAGCACAACAGCTACCCTGGGAGAGCCTTCATCGTCACCCCTCGAGAGAAGTCTTGTCTCCCTGCATCAAGGCATGCAGAAAAGGTAGATGTTGTTCAAAGACAATTAGCACTGGGGGGGAGGGGGCCTCATACAGAAGGGGACAACTCCACAATGGCTAAACATGGCTTTTGAGCTAATGGCTAATAAGGCTATTGAGCTAATAACATTTGTTAAACACTATTAAATCATGCTTTCTTGTTATCATAGGAGAGTGTCTTTAAGCTTAACTGATTTTATTTGCTAATACCGTGGGGTAGAAGTTTGTGCCAACACCTGGGATCCTGAAGGGTTGGTATGACTTCAATGTCACACCGTTCTTTACTAATTCCAGTGTGAACATAAGGCAGGAATATGTGACCTTTCTTTCTCCACCTCTCTCTGTCCAAGAGTTCATGCACACAGGAGGCAACGTCCTGTTTTTCTCAAAATCCTTGGAAGGCAGAAATACGGGGTGTGGGTAATCGAGACACCTGGCAGCCTCCTGGCCCTGCCCTGCTCTGCCCCCTTGCTGCCTAACTCAGTATGCTTCATACTTGTTTCAGAACTGTAGACCGTTTTGTTCCATTTTTATGAACTGCCTTTTATTATGTTTGTTTCTCGGTACTGCTCCCATGTGTAACAATCCCTGAGCACTCTCCTGTGCACGCAGCCCTGTTTTAATACTGCTGCTGGTCTGAACTGTGCTAGACTGATGGCTGTTACTGTGTTGCAGGGCTTTTGATAGGAAAATAAAATACACAGAGAAAACTGAGATGATGGCAGGTATGTCCTGCCTGTCAGAAAGGAGAGGAAGAACCCGTTTCACAGTGCAGGAGTAATCTCTACTATACTCCTGTTCTGGGATAATACAACCATGGCAGACTGGAAAACTCCGTAGGAACTCAGAGCTGAGCATCCAATGCTCATCCCACAGCTACAAGCTAGGGAACTACAGCTGGGCACCCTGAGCAAACAGAAATAGCCAAGGTTAAAAGAATATACAACAGCACCTCGCTGGGCAGCTCTAGCAGCTAATTGCATTGCATTAAAACCATTCCTGTTAACACCCCAATTACTGGGTTAGTAGAGCAATCCAGGCTGAGGTCCCTAATCGCCGCAGTAACCCCACTTGTGATGAATCAGCCGCAGATGGATGCCCACACTAGTGACAGGCATAATCCCTGCAGGTAACTGCAGATCTCATGTAAGAAGGGCACCACTGAGATTAACCTCTACTCAGAAACACTGTCCTGAAAAAGTTTCCCCAGACTTTATAGTCCTATCACATCACAGTCCATATTCCATATAGCTCAGGAAACCACTAACTCTTGAGTCACAGGAGAAATACTCCCTCAGAAAAAAAAAAGAAGCAGCCACCAAAAAGCCAAAAGAGGAGCTACAAAGAGAAGAAAAATACATGGGAGAACTCAACTGTTTGATCACTTGTGCTAAGATGCCTCACCAAACAAGGAAGAGCTTAAAGCCAAGTGGCAAAGCAAGAGAACACAGACCCATGCAGTGGAAGACACAGACAATGTGCAACATTGGTTAGATCCTGTGATCCTGTGGCTGAGTCTCAGATATTCTCTTGACACAAGGAAGGGGGACAGAAGACAGGAGATAGCTGTGGAGAGCTCTTCACAGATGTAGAGCTGTTCATAGTGAGCATCTGAAGCAATCTTTGGAAAGCAGCCATGTAAATCCCAATGACATCCCCTAAGTTCCCTGGCCAACCTCCTCCACAGCCAAATCCAACCTATCTTTTTTGGGGGGATGCAGGAAACTAGAGAGAGCGGGCATTTTCTGTTCCCAGTCCAAATCTTTGTCCCTAAAACCCCCTGAAGGCCATGTCTGCTCCTTCAGCCTGGGTTCATCCTTACCTGCAGGTATGAGACACTTGCTATGTCACTCAATCACACAGGCACCCCCATTGCCAATAAGGTGTCCTCATTATTTGGCAGTATAGAAGCCTGGAGATTCACTGACAACAGTAAGCATGTCCTACAGCCGAATGGGACTTGTTCTGTGATGAATCCAGTATGAGAAAAGCTTTCCTGAGTCTGGGCAAGAATGCCCACTACAGACAGGGTGGGTACCTGCCTTGCCATTAGCAGTCAGGTCCAGTCACCGCCATAACATTTATTCATCTGTGCACACAACAGACCTAGGTCACGTTGATGCAGCGCAAAATCACTGAAGTCCATTGTACCACCCCAAGGGCTGTTTCCCAACCACTTTTTCTGTGCCACTCAATGCCAGGTACAACTGAGAACTTTATCATATCATCTCAAAGCCTTCTGCATTATCCCAGGGCGCACACACACATACAGTCATCAATTTATGCACCTGCACCATAGGCTATATTGGAGTTTGTTACCAGTGAGAACCCACCACAAGCAGTTTTCTATGACAGAGATTTCCATCCATCCCTTTATGTAAAAATCCTGGTTGAAGACAAAACTTATAAGCACAGTGATAAATAATAGCTCCCTTTGCTGTTCATGCTTACATCCTTGTAATTCCTCCTGTTTACCTGGGATGTGCTTTGCCCAGCCAATGATCACCACCAGTTCCCTGTCTGCCAGGTCACAGAGGGTTGTCAGGGCTTTGATGTCACTCTCTGGCATGGTTGGATCAGGCATGGCATAAATCTTCTCTGGCTCAGCCACCAGCAAGTGGGAGACGATCTTAGTCACTGCACATTTCAAAGGAGAAGTTGTTGTTGTATCTCTCATGACATGTAACAGTAAAGAGTCAGAACTGCCCTTTCTAGAAGGACCTTTCTGGGATAAGACATGACTGTAGAGGCCATAGGACCTCAGAGATGGTTTTGGTCACAACAGGATAAGACTACATACTGCAGCTACACAAGCTGTAGTCATCTGCCTATGCCAAACCAGCTCTGGATGAGGACAACAAAAGCAGGAAGCTACTGTAAGGTTGCCAACTATTGTCTCAGGTAGGTCCAACAAGGGGAGGAGGAGGCATGAATAATCAGTGGGTGGGCTGTGGAAAAGTTTAGAGAACTATGGGTAGTATGGAAGAGAGAAATCAGCATGGGACCAGTTTTGTTAACATAGCTTGGATACAGGAAAAGATCAGAGTATCACCAAATTGATTTATGTAATCTCCTAGGAACAGTCTGGTATTTAACCCAGGTACAATGAATACAGCACCTGAGCTGTACCTTAGGTGTACCTAATCTACCTGTGCACTATGATCATATGAAAAAAAATCCTAGTGCTGGTGACTGGTACAGGAATCAGAAGTGACAACAGCTCCATTGTATGTTTTGAGAGACCAATAAAAAGAAACATAGTGGTTGCTCAGAGGACCACAAATCAAGACCAATACGTACGTGGCTTTTTAGCTGGGGGAGGGATCTGTAGGCTCAGGTAAGTGCTACTCTCAGAATCCAGTCTCCTCTTGTATTTCTGACGGCCTCCACGGACTCGATCCAGACGAACACCTGCAGGTAAAACAAGATAAATCCTCATGATTCCTTGGTACCACAGGGAACCTTGACATGCAGATGCTAAAATTTGCTAAGTAAGACGTTCCCCACACTCCAGGGAGCTTCCCTCTCCCAAACACTTGAGATCTCAGCTGAACCCAGCAATCCCAATAATACCAGCTAGACTGCCTCCAGCTCTAACCATGCTGCTGTGAGCTTTACTTTTATTCAAAACATTAATGAAGACAGAAATTAACCCATTCAAACTCTTGAATCACCATCAATCTGATGGGCAAATGAAAAGCTTCAGACCTCAATGCCCTCCAGATGATCTTCCTTTTAAAAAGAAAGACTTTAAATGTCAATCAAACCTGCAGTTATAAAAATAAGCTTTTAGATTGTTCTTAAAAATGAGAAGTTAAATGGTCTGTGACCTCTCACTATTTGTATTTGAAAAAAGTGACCTATAGCAAATAGATTATGAACTATGAATTCAACAAAGATGTTTCAGCCTTGATCAAGTAAGGCAACTGTAATAAAAGTAGAACCAAATAAATAGAAACAACCTCTACAATAAAGCAATGATAAAGCTGAAGTAGGGACACACTGAAGAATTTTTTGCAGCTCTTTCAAAATACAGCAAATCAAACTGCAAACAGCACATTGAAAACAGTTCCCAGTGACTGGGAAACACCAGTGACTGTCACCATGCAAAAAAACATAGCAGCATCAATAGACCAGGAACAGCAGCTGAACTGCTGTAACAGTACAAAATACAATGTTAAAAACAAACCGTGAAAAAAAACCCATAAATATTTGTCCAATTGTCATTTATTTCTGGCCAGCCATATGGTCTCTGGTAATCGGTTCTTGTGAAATTGGGGTAATTCAAGTCTTGCTGGGAGAAACAGCTATTGCAAAAAAAAAAAAAAAAAATCTTTCAAGGTAAATGTAGGAGCATTCAAACAGAAGAAAAATTTGAATTTACAATGGACAAGTAGTTCCTGAGAAACACACATGAATTAACCTAGTCTCATCACAGGAACGAATTACGTGATACACTTACTAATCACATCAAGCCATTAATATTTTGCAAGCAATCCACTGCATAAACACAAACAGCTAAAAAGCAAACACTCCAAACCATTTTTGAAGTGATGCTTTTTGAACAATTTGTACACCTGAAAAAACCTGCAGTCTACTGACAAATATTCTACCCTAGAAAGGGGCACGTGTCTGTCACTTACGTTGTGCGTTTCAATGCAACGTTTACTTACTATGTCATGGAGAAGAGAAGGCTTTTACTGTAGCGCTCGCATCAGCCCCACTTGCACCACATGAAACTGTCACTTGCCACAACATCTACATCCTGATACTCTTCATGGCTGGAGCACCCAGACCAGCTTGACTGCCAGACAGTCTCAACAGCTCGCAACAGCAAGAATAACCAACACCAACCAGGCCAGCAGCACTCAGTTATACAGTCCGACAGCAAAATCTCTCTGTGGAAGTCTAGGTGGCATTACCTGTAAGCCATGGTGTCTGGGGACAGAGCAAGGCTCCCTCCTGGGAGCCCCAACGTGTTCCAGAGAGTGATTTCAGAAAAGGGCAGCCAGGAAATCCCAAACCTGAGATTATCCAGGGAGACCCCTGAGGAACAGTACAAATAAAGTTCTGGATGAAGCAGGAAACTTTCATTTCCATCCATGGTTTCTTTCCCTCTATAAATGTGCTCTGGTTTCCTAGGAAAGATGACCTCTGTTCCATGCTCTGCTGAATGAACAACACCTGCCTATAAGCCAGGAGAGGAGGGAGAGACACAAATTTCAGGAACTGCCAAAAACCCAAGTAACCAGGTGGGAAATTAAAAGGGTCAGGAATACACTGTTCAAAGATTATGGAGGAATCCAGAACAGGCTGCAGGACTTCAGGCCTGGATCACAGCTCCCTGGGACCCTTGCAGAAGAAGGGTCACAGGAGGGTCCATTCCCTCCCGCCAGTGGTGCAGGGAGACACCGTTCTCAGCCCGGGAGAAACCAACACACAGCCCTCCAGATGCTTTTGCCGTGCAGTTTGATAAGCAGGGTGGGGCGGGGGGGACACACACAACTGGGAGGGGTAGGGAGGAAATGACCAGTGCTTGGCAGGGGGATGGCTGCACAGGTTGCAGCAGTATTAGGGACCCTCAATCAGATTATAAGGACACAAAGGACTTAAGTGCATTAAAAAAAGATAAGAGAGATGCAGAAAGATTTACCCTCCATCCCTCCTTCCCTCACTGAGCAGATAGAGGTCTGTTTGCCCAAGGACGTTGGCTTGTTAATTTTGAACAAGTGTGCGTCCTCCTCTTGTTCCCCATCCTGTGTGACACTCCTTCAGGCAAATGTTTTCAATCAGCATTTGCAGCGATCCTACCCTGTCGTCATCGCTCCAGCCGCAGAGCTGGTGAACAGGCTGACCCCTATGTAGCGCATCCCTGCGCCAGTTGCTGAGTGCAGTGACCTGCAGGTGCTACAGCGAACAAAAGCGTTTCAACCCCTGAGTCCCTGACTGTGACACTCCAGCCATAGGCATCACCCCTTCCCCAAAGGTCTGGCAGCCTAATTGGTGATATCTAGATGGAAGGAAAGGGCATGGCCAAAAATCAGGACCTGGTACTGAGCTGTGGAATTCAGGTGGGTTGTTAATGCCTGCTGTTCTCCTTTGATTTCCTTGGTGGCTGATTTTAAGATGGGTAGGCTGGTTACAATGCAGCTCTGAGAGGGACACTACAGGACATTAAAATGGAGTGGGGAGGTGCAATGGGTGAGCTCAGAGAAGCAGCTTGAAGGAAAGCACTGAGCAGAGAAGAGATGGAGGGGAATGTAAACTGAGATATGAATGGAAGAGTCTAAGGAGAAGGGTGATGAGGGGTCTGGAGCAAGGCAAGGCTGAGTGGTACATACACTGTAATCCCAAGGGCAGATTTCACACCAAACGTGCAGCCACCTGAGCTTTAACTGCAAGGTGCAGTGGCCACTTACAATATGCAGCTGGTCCGTACTGGAGGGTCTCACAATGGATTTGGTGCCACAGCCTGACAACAAGACAGCAGCAAGAGAAAGCAGTTGCCTTCCTCCTGCACAAACCCATTTCTCACATGGATCCCAACTGGCCAGCTCCCAGGAGAGAAGGCACTCATCCCACAAATCTGTCACCACCACAGGCACTCCTGGACGCCCCTTCTTGACAGTATCAGTAAGGAGGGGTTGCTAGAGCAAAGAAGGAAGGGCTTACACACACAATGTGAGATGCAGCAGTATAGGGCAAAGTTGGGGAAGTACTACCCCTTGATAACCTACCTTTCTGGCAGCTGCGTCTTCACAAATGAAGGCTGGCTGTGTGGGAAACATCCCCCCTCCTCCCACTCCCCTGCGTTGCAAGGAAGTGCTGCTGTTCATTGCATCTTGTTACGTTTTCAGGGACCCTGCATAAGAGTCCTGCCACCCTGCCTGGCCCAGGCGTGGAGCTGACCCCAGCGTCCGCCGTAGGGGCTAGCTCCCCAGCAGCACACTCTCAGCTCCCCAGCCTGCCCTCGCCCTCGCTGACCTAGCAGGAGGAGGCCAGGGCCAGGACTTCTGCAGGACTCAGCTCAGCATGCTGCCTGGGGTAGGGATGTCAGTTTTCTAAGCGTCCTGTGGGTGCCACTCGTGTTCCAAGCGCTCTTGCAGAGAGGTCTGTGCCAGCACCAAGCCCCTGCAGTGGGAGAGCTGATCTGCTGATCTGTTCAAGCTCCCTGCATTTCTCTGACATGCTCCTCGGAGAGACATCTGCCCGACAACTTTGGGATCAGATATCCCCTTGCTGACTTGATAACATCAGGCTTTGGGGTTTTTTTCTTAATGGAAGTAAAATAATTCCAGCTTTTTTTAAAAGCTGGACCCTGGCCGAGTCTGTCGGAAGTAAAAATAGCCGAGTATGCAGAGGCGACAGCACACAGAGTCAGGTTTAGTTTCTCTTTTATTTTCTGGGGACTAAAAATACTCTTAAAAGCTCTGTGAAGCTAAGCCCTGGCCAGTGGGAAATGCAGTCTAGGCCCAATATCAGCTGTCGCGTCAAATTACTAGCCTCACCTCACTTTCCATCGAGTCCTATCACATGCCCATGAATTGATAGGAACAGAAAGATCTATCTTGCCAAAAGAGCTAACGGAGGAGCCAAGCTACAGGGTTTGAGCTGTACAATATGTGTCTAGACCAAGAAGGACACAACCAAAGGGGACACAGGGCAAGTGCTGGCCAGGGAGCAATGCCCACAGGGCTGCTTTTGCTGAGCTTCCCTGATACACCAGCCAGGTCCTGTGCCCACTGCCCACTTAATCCTTGAGCTGCAGTTTCTGCATCAATGCAGCCTGCCTGTTCTCCCGGGGTCTGAGCTGGGGTTGTGCTCTGCAGCTAACGGAGGTGCCCCGGTCCCCGGGAGCTGCAGTCTAAAGCACGTGGATTGGCACTGCCCAAGGATGCTGGAAGGTGTAGGCTAAGAGCAGAGAAGAAAGGAAGGGAGAAGGGTTATGCCCAAGGTGTCTCCTACACAATTTCCCTCTCCCTTTTTGCTCTAAACTTCAGGAGAGACAACAGGATGTGGCGATGGGATGAGTGAGCCAGGAGGAGGCCTATTAAGGAAAGGGAGAGCAGCAATGACCATAAACATTAGGCTTGCCAAGATGGGGAAAGAAATAGACTATATGGAAAGGTGTTTCTGTGTAATGAGAGTGAGAGGCTGCAACCTGACTAGGCTCTCTTTCATTACTCTCAGATTCCAGCATGGGAAGGGGAAAAGACCCCTTTATACCATTAGGCTCTTATACTGCTGCAAAAAGAGGCCAGCCCCTGGCAAATCTCCTGGTAGATGGCTGGTGCAATTTCCCAACACATCTGAAACATAGGAAAGCGACTTGAGGGTCGCAGGTCAGCATGGCCAGAAAAACCCAGTGACTAGCATGGTGCAGGTCAGCAAGTCAGGGAGTGACACTTGCA